CCATTTAACTGGCATCCTCTTTGCATAAAACACTGCTGTAAAGGTTACTTGAAAATGTCTTGTCTTCATAATGTGGGACGAAGAGTAAATACTTTTTAGTTTCAAACTAGGATTTATTAAACTTCAGGTGAACTGATCAGTTTACCTGTGAATGGTACCCCATACTGCTCATAATAAGGAACTTCCCTAGCGTATAGGCCTATTTTGTGCGGTATTAAGAAGTTTGCTGATTGAGATATTCGGAATTTAGTTACCAACCGACAGTGAACCTTTCTATTTGGTCTTATTAAACGAAAAGATCGTGCTAAAAAGTTCATTTAATGCAGTACCGTCAGTATCATATTTTTGTCCAAAAAATCCTTGGAGCCGTTCTGACTTATGACCGTCGATAATACATGGCCCATCGTCATATGGTGGCTCCGGATGTTAAAAACGATAATATTCCACCTTGAAAGATCAATATGATTGACTATGTGTAAAATGTAGGCGTGTAAATACATTGACTTATGCGCATCCGTATCGAGGAAGCTTAACGACAACCTTATGCTATCCATCTGTTTGAAACGCATGCGTCTTATAAGCGTTGTGCACGCAAATTTTTGTTTTGGTTCTTGTATGTGTTTAACGTCACACCCAGTCTCTCAGTATTTTCTACCGCAAATGCCTATTTTTGTATTTGCTTTATTCAAAACCAAATAGTGCCGGTTATGGCTTTCTCACAATGTTGAATATTGACGGTCAATACTTCGGGACTGAGCCAAGACGCCTGCTTTTCTGCTCGAGGACAGTTCGTTGAGGACAGTTCACTAGAACACACATACGACCATTTTTTATTTTGTATTTATGTACTTTAGTGGTCATTCAAACCTACACAACCCCAGTATGCAGACTTTTCATCATTTTGAAGTCCACAACGGCGTTTCGGGGAATACCTAGTTTAATGTTTCTTTGCGCAAGTTTCAGTAATCAAAATATTTTGGATTTCCAGCCCAATTACCGAAGAAAGTGTCCCACGTCAACAGTTCCCGATGCGAGACGAACTTAAATTCAAATTTGAAACAAAGATACGTCGCATCCCGCCGCCACCAGTCACCGTTCCGCACAGGTTAGATACTTATCGACTCTGATTGATTTTGCAAGAGGCAACTTGTTATGAACGACTGGATTCTCTGCTTCAATTATTGCGCCGGATTTTTGACAGTGAAGCTAGCCATAAAACCACGTTTTGCACCTTCGAATTTCGATATTTTGCCTTAGGAACTACGAAGTTGGTTTTAACGGTTAGCAGGGTTTGCTGAAATAAGACATAAAGCGGAAAACTGTTTGCGTTCAATTTTAGCGGGTTTAAAACCCTGCACATGGAAAGCTATGACGGGTCATCGACGGCTCTCGCTAAGGCCGCACGGGTCTGCCCCGTAGATACACCGTATGTTTTACCAGGTACGTTTTGCAAAGTTTTGTGTAGCATTTTATTTGAATTCGCTTTATTTTATCGGTACACTCAAAGGAAATGTTGGTCAAAAGCCAAATTAGAACCATTTCCGATTACTCACCCGAGCAGTAATCTGTCTCCTTAAATCATAACTGAACTGCCCTTTGTGTAACCTCATTAAATATGTGTGTTTCATCTGTACATTCAAATCTGCCTAATGCGTATCCTCGACGGTAGCTATAGGCTTGGGCCATGCGCAACGGAACTCATCCTTTTACTTTCTTTGCCGGTCCTGCAATTTAAAATGAACTAAAGTTCTGCATTGATGTTGAAATAGTGCAAATCTTTGTAAACACATCAGTTCGCATCTTACAGTGATTAGTTAAAACGGTGGTTCTTCAGAAGGAGGTTTTGAAACATCGGAAACGTCTATAGCTGTGTGCAATGATAGAAATGTCCTCCACATGAAATGTCTTTTAACCTTTTAGATCCTGGAACGGTGGCTCCACTTACGGCACCGCTCATGTACAAGACGGAGTACAACACCTACGGTGATTGTCACCGAACATTGCTCTAGATAACAGTACTTTTTAAAACAACTGCAGACAAAAATTTAAGCCTAGCCTTTGCCTACATTACTTGCCCGCATCGGTCTTTCTACTGCATAATAAACAATCAAAAGAGACTTTAAAAGCGTAGAAGTGAGATCTTTCTTTGAATGCATCCCAGGGAGCAGATTTGTGGATGGTCTTCAATATCTATTCTTTTCTGAATTTTCCACACAAACGATGGATGCTTAAACTGCCATTATCTTCTTAATGAGGCTGCAAAGAAACAGCGAAACCATCAGCGCAATTAACAAACTGTGTGGGGTCTCACATTTTCTATGGTTTAACAAATAACGATGGAAATCTAGAGACCGTTTTTGGCCTTATGACTAAACGCTCGTTCCGACATAATGTCCTGTCGTGCGAGGATGAGATAGAGTAACGAGGGGTAAGCAGCGTTTTGGTCCACTATTTGAAAACTAAAAGACATTAATAAGGATAGTCAGCGCATGTTGTATCAATGAAGGCGGCTCGCTGAAGGCCTTCGACCTGGTCATCGAGCCGCGCTACCTTTCTTTTAGGTTTTCATAACTATTGTAGATATCCAAATCGGATAAAAATTTAAGGAAGCAAACTGATCCGGGATTTATGTTTTTGCTAAAGAGCTCTTATTCGAGCCCGCTACATACTTTTGGAATTTCTTAGGGCCAACTATGATTTTCCAATTTTAGAGGCCCTGGCCTTTTAAAAAGCCTTTAAACTCAATAAGATATTAAAGGAAATAGGTAAAAAAGACAAACGCATCAACAACGGCTTATAAACGCTCATCACGTAACGTGGCTGCTTCCATCGTTACGTTTACGATAAGGAGTAACTTGTTAACTTAAAGCCCGAAAAAGACGTTTCGTCACTGCCGAAATGCAGATCAACATGACTCGATTTCCGACACTTCTATTAGAACCTAGGAAGTTAGGGTCCACTTTTAGGCTAAAACAAGGGAGATTTACGAGTCAGAGCTTATCTAAAACGAAGACGTTGTTCCTGTATATGACCGAAATTTGTTGTAGCAACCGGTGCCCAAAGTTCTACTGAGAAATTAAAACAACTGATTTCAGTGAAATGGTTCGCCCTCTGACGCCTACCGAAGTAGTCACTGCACCACACTGTACCGACAGGTTTTGCATATTTCTAGGTGGGCCTTCATTTATGAGCCGGTATTCTGACAAATAAACTTAAACGACATTAGAAGCATAAGCAGTGTTTGTGCTTAATTGAAGAAAAAGAGGTTTCGAGCACCGAGCATGTGTTTAGTTTGTCCTGTGTATTTACAAGGACAGTTTTGACACGGGATGCGATACCCCACCCTAGATTGCTCCTCTGGCTTTAACCGGTCTTTTATTTTCATGACCCTATTGCGTATGGTGGCTTTGGGCGGTGTGCAATTCCAAAACATAGCTCCGCAGCAATGCGCTCAGTCGCTCCTGAAACGCCCCTGATGTATGACAGACAATGCCGTATCGTCGGTGGCGTTGTTGCTTGAGGCCTCTGGGGGCGACCGCGTCGGCAGCGACTTATGAATGCCCTCGGATGGCCATTTTGCACAAACTGGTCGCGGAGATAATGGGCCGCACGTGCTCTGTCCTCGGGTTTGCTGCAGTGAGTTTGAATCCGTTTTAAGGGCGTCTTCACACAGCTTCGTTTGTAAGCCACCGGATGGTTGCTGTGCAAAGTGAGAAGCTGTGTGGTGTTGGTTGCCTTCCTAAACGCGCGACCAGTTTGTGAAAAATGGCTATCCGAGGGCATGCTCCGATCGCGCATACACGAACATAAGCTGGCTGTGCGACGAGGCGACGCATTACCACAATTGGCCGCTCACACCAACGAAATGGGTCACGAGTTTAACCTCGCAGCCAACAACAATAGTCGCCCACGCCGGAAACAAGACAGTCCGAGACTTGATTGAAGCTCGGGCCTCGGATGAGAACTCAGTCAATCGATTTATCGATCTAGCGTCGGCGTACAGAGCTCTGCTTAGACACCTCCAGCCTTGCGCCGTCGATCGATGATTGGTCTGCATGCCTTATAACTGTCGCTTGTTCCGTTGCTGCTACTACCTCTGACGATGGACTCCTGTACGAGTCTGAAAGCTCAGGACAATAAACAGAGTGTTTCGGTGCTCGAAACCTCTTCCTCTTCACTTATGCATACAGCTGGAACTCGAAATTTGGCCTTTATTCGTGAGTATTTGTGCTATTTGGTAGTAGTCACCGAAAGTTCTCGTGTTTTCCACTTTACCAGCAGTTTGACAATTTTACTTTTTGTTGTTTTATAATGCTTGACTGGCAAAAGTGCAAATAGTCAACCCTATACTAACAAGCAGTTATATTACTAAATTGCACTAATGAAAACTTTCTTGCAAAACTTGAGGCATTTGAAGAAATTTCAAGTCTTAGTATGAGCAGGTTCGATAGGAAATGTCTTACGTGACTAAGGAAGTCAAAGCACTTAATTGTAGACTTGCCCGCCGTTTGCCTCGAGCAATGCAAACCTGCCTATTTTTGCAGCTCTCAGTATTTGAGTTCTACCCCAAAGGGACACCGTTTAAGTAGACTCTTAACCCCTCTCACCGAGAAAATTTAGGGGATTGGGCTGTCGGGAAACACTGCTTTCTAGTGCGTCATGTTTTACTCTTTGAATAGTAGGCACACGAGCAACAGAGAGACCTGAGCTTTAATCGAATTAGTCTGCTGCTCATAAATCCTACGAGCTCTCTTGTAGGGCCCAAAGTTTGATATTCAGGTTGAAGTGCACTAATCGGAAAGATTTATAAAAGTGAAAGGTTTGAGGTCAGAAAAACTTGGGGACATGAATTTTGATGAAGACACAAAAACAAGGTTAACATTACTGTAGTATCTTGCAAACAAAGGAAACAGGCAGAAATAGTGTTTTCTGCGAAGTCAAAAAAAGCATTTTCTTTGTTACTGACAGTTTTATGATGTAATGGTTGGTTATGGCATTGTTCACGTTTTGGTCTTTCTGGAGCTGCTTTTAGTTGATCGTTTCTTTTTAGCTCCGTTCGAATCTTTTTTACGAAAAGCAAGTGGGGGTCGTTCGACCCTAGGGCCTGAACACTTCTTCTACAACGTTAAAATATAAAAACGAGAATTCAGGCGGGTGTCATATTCCTTAAAAACGAGAAAACGCTGGCAATTGCGTTAGCAGACAACAGATCTGTTTTTCTTGCGCGTGCTTTGGTTAAACCAAATGGTCTGCAAATAAATTAGTTGAAAGTTACAATGGATAAATACTGGCGTATCCAATAGTTTATACAAGTGACATAAGTGTTCAAACCTTCGAACAAAAAAACTGACGTCAAACTTATTTTCGTCGAAATTCATTCTTTCATCATTAAGCAAATATTTCGATTTTTGCTTTTTTTCAAATTGAAATGTTAATATTTTAAAGATGTTTCATTAATTACGCACAACTAATATTGGAGTCACTATTAGATACAGACAACGCAGATTTGCAATAAACTTTCTGATGAAATGATCAGCGAAAATTTACTGGCTGAAGGAATATCAGTAATTTTGGACGAATCACCACATAGTTAAGTCCCCCATAATTCTAGCAATAATTAATCGTACTTCTTACTGGCAGCCATCGTTTTTTTCGCCAAATTGACAGAATCCAACTCGTATATCTTCATATACATCAGGGTCCAACCTGCCAAACCCTGTCGCAAATGCCTTAGTTCATGTTTTATTTAGAACCTCTAGCAAACATATAAACCATCAAAGTGACAAAATAGTCAGAACATTTTCAGCCAATACTTACCTGATTACATACTGGGCAATGTCCAGCTTCCTCCATTGTGCCTTTAAACTCTCCACGGAGACAGAAGCAACAAAATCGTGTTCCACAATACTTGCACATGTAGACCTACCCTTAAGTTAGGAAAAAATAAGGACTTACCGTGTCTACTTCCTGGCAACCCCAGCGGCACATTGGTGTATTTACACTTCTTTAAAATGGATAAAAAAGGTTGGGACATTCAGAAGGCAAAGGTAGCTGGGCCAAGATAAGAGAAGATAGTAGAATCAAGCGAGCTTAGTTGAACATGCGGTGCTAATTAGACATCATCCGGTACGGCATTGATGGGGGGTGGGAGGCACTACTAGCAGAGGCGGATCATAGCAATGCTTATTTTTATTATTATTTGACGTCGCCAATCAGTAATACCACAGCTCTATGAACTGAAACATTGCAGATTTGAGTACAAGCCCAGCAGGTTACTGATCACTTAACTCAAATAATTCTACCACCTGAGCTATAGGATACATTCCGTATCAGAAAGGATCTGTAATATGCGGTGTCACGGAATTTTTGAGACAGAAATTAATATTCTTCTTTCGGTCTGGAGTAAAAACCATAATTACGCATCCTGAATCACAAAGGAAAGTGCACATATTTGAGTAGGCTAGATTTAAAGACTAAAAAACATAGAACGCAATATTTGATTGATTCATGAACTATGGAATTTTGACTTTGGTTTAGTCACCACCACTGTGAAGCGTTCCTCAGGTGTTATGCACATTCAAACTCCTGTTTGGCGTTAGTGCATCATTAATTGGTTTTCCCGGTGGCAGTCTACAAAAGTTTCCTGTCGTTAATTACTTTTTACAAAAGATGATCTCCAAAATCAATATTCCGAACTGCCGGATATTTCGAGTCGTGAAATTTTCAAAATTTAAGTTTATTCAAGATTTATGCCAAATTGCCCGGATTTTTTTATCACAAATCAAATAAGTCTAAGTGAAGATATTATGAAATTCTACCCCTTATAGGGACCCGGCAGACAATACTATGAAAAAATTATGAGCGCTTGCTGGTAAGGATGTGAAACTTTACCGACAAACCTAAGGATGTTACCGGCGTACATCTGGAAAACATCATCGAGATGATTGAAAATATTAATGGTGGGCAATAATGCCTCAACTAACAGCGGGGGGCAGAATTAATGTTGTGTAGTAAAATATTTAACGGGTCTTGGTCAGTGATTTCACAAAACTGTCCCTAAAAAATACCTGAGTGCCAGTTCTGACCAAAGACCCCACTTCGGCACTTTGAATAATCGTTGGCGTCGCATGATCGCCGTTTCAAAAGCCAAACACCCGCTCAGAGGAGCGCCCCATGTTACTAATAAAAAGATTTACTCATTCTTTCTCCCAGAGTATAGTTAGCTCAAAAATTATCAGTTGAATAAAATGCAGATGGGCAACATCGATATATGTACTATGCATATAAAATTGTTCCTCAGCATGGTCACTAACTTGAAGTACAAAAAATATTACCCAAAATTTCCTACTGATGCTTGTTTTTGTGTATTAAACCTGCATGCAAAATCACACAGAAAATGCAAGAGGATTAGAAACTCTTCGATGTATTGCGCTATGTATAGCCGTTGCAGAAGTACCTATATTCGGAGTGTGGCGAAGTAGTTTCATTTGCTTGTCATATACTGCTACCCGGTTTTAGAATGTAGGCATAGGTCTTTTGCTTTGGTCACAACAGTGCCACTTAAATGTCTGCGCAAAATAGAGGTTAGTCCCTTTGACTCCTATTCTGATAAGTTAATGCACTTCCTCACAACAGTGCTTAACATATCCCTGAACCACCGCCGAAATCTGTTTTGTGAGCTTAATTACAAAATTATCAAGAACCCGGCTATCGCGGATGATTGTTATTTAAAGGACTTTGTAAGCAGTTTTGTCAAACTTATCTAGGCGATCGATGCGCACTTAGCCCGCCTGAACGAAAAAGTACAGCGGAGTGTTATCATGTAATTATCCGTTATGCCAGATAATTTCATAAAAATGTTAAACCATTTTTATGTATATATCTTAAATCTAGCGGATAAACAAACATGCGGCAAGATTATTTTGGATGGATTTCATGCTCCTAAAACCATTCTTAAGTGTCAGGTTATTGAGAGCAAAGTCTAAGCATCTTAAGCCAGATAATTGTCTGTACGCTAACCGGTTGCAACATAAAGGATCTACATAGGATTGCGTGACTGTCCGGTTAAGAGAGGGGTTGGGTAGTGAAGTCAGCTCATCGGGTTCCTAATCTAAGACATGATCAGGTTGCCAAAAGAACATCGAGGAAGAAAGCTGTGTAGATCCTACGAACAGTTGCAACACACTCGACGTGGTCGGTCTACTTCGTGAATTCACGCAAAGATTGAGGGATTCTCTGTCTCTTATTCATGGCGTCTCATTCCAGTACAGGATTCGTGGATTCAAAAACTTAGTTCCCGTAAACACTTATAAGTATTTCATGCAACTATTTGTTCCCGTTTAGTTACTTTCTTTTAACAATCACTACCCTGCCAACACATGCCCCGTCACTACCCGGGGCTAGTTCGAAGCTATTTGGGGCTAGGCTCCATGCAAGTATGGTTAAATACTGCCCCTTGTAATGAGGTCACTTCGTCTTATATTTCGCAAATGTTATGTTCTTATAGTTAAATATATGCCTTTGCCCTGTGAAATACATTTTTGGGTGATTCGAATCGACCGAAAGTCATTCTTCTCTAGGCTGAATATTGGCTTTGTTCAAGTGAGTCATGTACATGGCCACGTGGAGGGCGCTTTTACGCTGACTGTATGCACTGTGTGCGTGACTGCAGTACACTGTCCATTTCCTTTTTCTTTGCTTCAATGTCATTTTCATAAGTAAAAGATTTGCCAATTGGCACAAATGACACATCTTTTGTCTGAGTGAGTGTAATGTACCTAAGCGTAGCACTTTTTAATTCTATATATGTGTTAGTTCAAAGTAAATCTGGACCAAAACTACTAGGGCATTCACCAAAGCACATTGTACAAGATGAACAAGCGTGCAAAGATGGTGTATTGTGCCGCCGTAGAAGAGTCCTTGCTTCCCTCTACGTCCTCTGTAGTGGTGGAACAATCCCTCAAACGCCAGATGTCCCGCCTTGGCCCAGAGGTTTTTACTGGTAGGTAGTTTATGCGTATGCGATAGGACGGTGTAAACAACGGCCAAGCTGATGAAAGCCCAAACCCGTTTAGTGGCAAGTGCTTCTTAACGGATTTGAAGGAGTTTTGATTGAGAGCCCATCCATGGGCCACTTTGTTGTTACAGATGTTGCGGTTGCAGCACCCATAGGTCTCTAAGGACCTGCAAACTCAATGCAGACACCCGAACGTGCGTTTACAAGTCCCTTTCCAACGGCAGATACGTCCATTTGGGCCTTACACGTGGTCTTTTAGCTAAGTTCCAACTTCAGACGTCAACTCTGCTTCCGATAGTGCGAGTTCGGCTGCACATTGACGGGATTAAGCTGTTTGAAGAGTCTGGCCAGTGTCTTTGGCCAATCCTTGGCCGCGTCCTCCATCCTATCAGTAGACAGCCGTTTGCTGTTGGAGCATTCGCCGGTTCCGGCAAGCCTGAGCCTTTGGAGTTTTTTCTGGGCCAGTACATCTGGAACTTAAGGATATTCTGACGGGCGGCCTCCAGATTCCAGACACGCGTAGAATAGTTAAATTTGAGCTCACAAATGTCATCTACGATAGGTCTGTTCGCTCGTGCGTCCGGCAAGTAAAGGCGCATAATGGCTGTTACGGCTGTGACAGGTAGTTGGCCCAATAGTTACAAACGTAATCCTCCTAGGTTCTGGCCTATGGGCAAACCGCATGACGTTCCTGGTACATAGTGGACGTCCGCGGGATGACAGGTCATTCCGCATGAGAAGTCAGGAGCAGAACCACAAATACACGTCGCCTTTCGAGGACCTACCCATCGATATCGTGGCTTCCTGTTCAACTGATTGCATACACCTTGTGTGCCTCATTTTCATGCAGAAGCTGCTGCATGTCCGGCGGCTTGCAGCCTGTCAGAAAACCGCTTCAATAAATGCATTAAACAGTGCAGTCAGTGTTTGCCAACGAAATTTTCCCAAAAGTACAAACATCTAGACTGTTTGGAATATTGGAAGACTACGGAATATCGCCTATTTCTATTGTACATAGGCCCGTAGCGTAAGCTCCCTATCTTGACTAGCCCCGTTATGAACATTTTCTCCTTTTATTCGTTGCCATGTTTATTTTCTCCTATCCCATACTGCACAAATCTTTCGTCGATTTCCGCCGTCTTTTGTTAAATAAATTTGTTTCTGATTTTTCATTCTGTGCAGTTCTGCTGATTTAGTGTATAATACTCATTGTTTAGTCCACCTCCAAGAGGATGTCAGTCGTTTTGGAATGTTCTCTGTATACGGATAAGAATTTTAACATTGTCGATGCCAATTTAGTACTTCGTTTCGGAAGCCGTACAGAATAGGTCAGGTGTTCATGGGGGCCGCCTGACATTTCACAATAAACCCTGACCAGTGGTACACCATTTCACGAACAGGGGAACGCTTAAGTTTTATTATAATCTGCGCTGGTCTATAAAAAATCTCGCATATCCTCCAGCAGACTGGAACGTGCGAATAGTTGGTTAATTAAAGTAATTGTGAAGAGCACCGTTTACTTTCACTAAAACTTGACAATTCATTAGAAATATATGAATTCAACATTTCTAATTACATATTTCGTCCAGATTACTTACAACGTTGGACAAAAACGGCTAATAAATAACTTTGCACCTCAGGAGCACGAAAAAGTTTTATTCAAGCTTGTTTGCTAGAGGACTGAATCGAAACTCAACGTGAATATCGCCGAACTGAATCCTGTATGAGAAACGCACTTACGTTGGTAAACGAACCAAATTCGTAAGATTGGGAGCGTCGTCACAAACTAAAACAAACGGACAAATGGTTTCGCTTAGTACTCATAAGGGCATTTACATGAAACGTATATTGGTCAAGTTAGATTTAACACTTCGTCAATAGAACAGTCCGAGCCTCCTATTTGCGGCCAACTCCGGAATATACGGCGTGCAATGTGGCTAACGTGCCAACATATGCACTTCATGTCAACAAG